CCCCCCCCCCCTCCCCCCCTACAAACACAAAATACCCAAATTGCGCCTGATAATTTAAATCTCCTCATAAGTTACCATGGTTTCCAGTGTGGAGGTAGTTGAGCTAATAGACCTTGTTCAGCTAGATAAAGTAGTTCAGGTTCAAGTTCAGGGTCTATACCCAGTCTTACTGCATACTCAGCAACCTCTGCAAAGAACGATGGAATTAGGTCTTTGCCACAAGTTCAAATTTTCTAAACCCTAAATCTTTAGAGTTTGAAATATCTTGTAGACCTTAGATATTTCAAACTCTAAATTCTGTTACATCAAATAATCAAAATTTGAAATATTAAAGGTTTTTGCCATTAGGTTGCTAAGATATAAGACTTACAAAATTAGAGTTTGTGGCAAAGACTCAATTCTTTTGATATATTTAAATTGACAAAATTGGGATCAAGAAAAGGAGGTCACCTTATTTCCCGCATTTTAAAGTTTTCCTTTCTGGTTTGAAAGAAGGAAAAGAAAAGATCAAAATGTTTTAGTTGTTCACATTTTTTATACATAGACTCTTCCAGACATCATTTACGCATGCAAAGTGCTCACACCTCTCTTGAGTATACTGGCATTTTAATCAATTAATTTTAAATTAGTAAGTGTTAGATCGAGATGCATGTTTAAAAATCACAATGGCATTAATTGAAAACTTTGGCTGGATGTTTACTATCTGAAAATTGGTAATTTTCAATTTCTCTTTAAAAGTGATCCATGAGGATTTATGTACATGCTGATATCCAGAGGCACTGCTATTATAGAAAAACCACGTTATCTTTATAGTTGTTGCTCAGAAAAAGGGTTAAATGGTACCTTTGTAAATCAGCCGTGTCACTACAGTTTCAGTAGAAGTAAATATTTTAATTTACTGTTTTAGCGCCGATTAAAGGATTCCTATCTCTAATTGGATAATGAAATAGATAGAAAGATAGATGTTACCGCCATCCTATTTCTATTGGTTCAGAATAGACAACAAACACATGACTGAACCTTGATTGGACTAATGGAATCGGCATACAAGTGTGGTGTACAACTCTTTAAACTTCAAATACTCGATGGTTCCTTTTAACATTCTTGTACAATAAACATGGGAATTAAATGACGACTTCTTTGTCGTCTTTGTTTCAAGCGTGATTATTTTGTAAACATTATTTTGTAGTACAACAGTTAAAACATTTACCACCGAAATCTCGGGATTTCCAAAATGTGAACTACCATTGTTCACCTCAAAGTTGACGGGGATATTAGATTCAAGTTCTTCCAGTGTATTCAAAATCAACAAACTGTTAAAATGTTTAATATCTCGGTTAACTTTGAAGATACAAAGAAGATAGGCCACACTCTGAAAAGCTCATCAGACTTTTATTCTTATTTTGATGCATTCATGTCATTTATCAACTAACGGAAACCAAAGACGATATTCAAGTCGTCTCTCAGTTCCTATGTTTATTGGGACACTCTGTATTTTATCACCCTTCTTGGATTATATTTTGTTTGTATACAAATTTGTTTACCTTTTATACTTGGTGGACGGGTTGGATCAAAGATCTCTTTGTACACCGTGAACCCCTCGGACTGGTTGTACTCAGTAAACTCCTTGGACTGGTTGTACTCAGTAGACCCCTTGGTCTGGTTGTACTCAGTAGTCCCCTCGGTCTGGTTGTACTCAGTAAACTCCTTGGACTGGTTGTACTCAGTAGACCCCTCGGTCTGGTTTAATTAAATAATTCAAAAGATTCAAATTGCGTTATTGAAAGAAAAAATCTGCCTTTGAAGATGTTGATGGTCTGAAGGATATTGATGAACTGAAGAAGAAACATGAGGATTGTGATAAATCTACGGGTTCTCCTAGTACCTTTCTAGTAGTGACTACCATACTTTGGTATTACAGGTAGAAATATGGTAGTAGACGGCTTTCTAATTTTTATTCGTCATTAACTGTCTGTTTTTTTACTAGTGCTAAGAAGAAATAAATATATACATTTTTTTAGCACAATTCGATCATTTTTGAAAATTCATGAAAAGTTTTCTTATCACTGTATGATGATTTTGTAAAAATGGAGAATTTTTAATGTTTATAAAAACAGCGATAATTTTTTTTTACAACTTACACCAATATTTATTGAAAAAATCTATAGAATTTTCATGCGCAGATTCAAGAATACACATGTTTCTTTTTTGTGAATTCGTTAGCTTGGAAGTTGGAAGAAAATAAACTTCATAATAATTAATTACAAAAACAAGAAAAGCTTTTTACGAAGACGACTTTAATCCTTTCTTACCTTAGCGCAATTGCCCAGTGACATTATCAAATATTAATTTCCCAACCGCAAAAATTGCCGACAAATTGTGACGAAGTTACGCATTTAAAGCGATTTTGTTGTGAAATATTTAGATATTCAAGATGTCTGAGAAGCTAACGACCGCTCAGGAACTCTTTGATCTATTTTCCGATGACGAAAAGTTGAAAAACTACAATTACAGGAAAACTACAATATAAATGTTAATTATATATATATATAAAACTGTAATGTTGTAATTACAATTAAATAAGTACTTCTAAGTGATTTTTTTACCGGACCCCACCTACCAGTGTTCCCTTGGTATAAAGTAGTCAATAAAAAATTATTAAAATTAATTAAGTAATCAGTTTGGTTATGGTATGACTAAATCTGGGCCGAGCGCCGCTGCCATGGAATGCTAGAGAGTCAAGCGCTGCGGCTAAATATCGGCTAAATCCTAGAAAATCTTACCCACATAATCACTCAGACCATGTGCTATATTTAATAAAAGTAGTCAATTAGTCCTAGAGAACGATTTTTGGTCTTAACCACTCTTTAAAGTAGTATCTGGGGTTTTCAAAATCACCTTATGCCGAAAACTAAGTATATTAAGTACATTTTAAATGTTGAAAATCATTAAAATCGATGATTTTGGAACTGAAGTTGCTAATACCACTGAGTTTTCAAAAAGTTCAGAATTAGTTATCTTTTAGCACATGACCTGGGATTTTTAAATGATTTAAAACATCAACCTCGGTCAACAACCCAGTATTTCATTAAAGTTTGAAGTAATAAAATCAAAAAAATTCGAAAATGGCTAAAAATCACGATTTTGACGGCAGGCGAAATAATGGTCTCCGTAAAAAATATTTTGGACTTTTCTCAGATTCATATATTTTCAAAAGAAAATGACTACCTCTGAATAATTTTTACAGGGACGCCCTAAGGAGGACTGGGCCCATGTTATATATTTAACGATTATGGTTTTTTACAGCGTTTCGGATCCGGATCCGGATTTGTATCAGAGTCAGGATCCTGATCCATCATCACGGATGCGGATCCGAATCCGCATCAAAATGATACAGATCCGAAACACTGGTTTTTTAAATGTATTAGAATGAGCATGTTGCGCCTCTAAATAATGCAGGTGGATGTAACCCCTCCAAGTCGTCTGACGATAGATTTTTTGTTGAAGTATTCTTTTTAACCCTATTACGACTGCTGGCGTTTTTTTGGAGATTACTCAAAAAGTACTGGTCTTAAGCTGTTTAATTTTTTTTGACTTTTCTATCTAACACATGCCATTCACTTTAGACTCAAAGCGGGGCTTTTATAGCTACTGCTTGAGTCCTCAGACATACTGCCTAAATGCCTTATTTTACCTATACCCGACAAAATGATAATCTATGTTTAGACCTACTTCCAGCCATTTGAATTTAACTTTTTTCAGAATAATATTTCGCTCACTATTTGTTTTTGCACATTTTTGGTTAATAACTTGAAATTGCATAAATATTTAAAATTTTGCAAATTTGCTAATATTTTGTGCAGATTATTAAATAAGAGCCTCGAGCTCTCCAAAAAGTATCAAATGTTATCAGTAAACCAGACGTCAGCCTGAATAGGGTTAATCGCTTTTTCACAATCATGATTATTGATCATTATTTATCATATATTCCTAAATTTAATATTTGTTGTCAGTTGTTTATAAATCCTTCTCCTAGGTTTCTAGCAGCTGTTCCCGAACCTGAAAGGAGCCAACTCCGTTGGGAACATGTAGGTCAGATGTCTATATAAATTAAAGGGATTAAACACGTGATTTAAATTATTCCTCCATTCTACGACTTATCAGATCCTAATTGACGCACAATGAAACACAAGTTAAACCTTTCAAGATAGAAAAACGTAGATATCTTTCTTATTGTTGATCCGAGTAAAGATCCAAATAATAACCCTCTTCAAACAAATGATACATTGAAATTACAACTATAAAGAGAGCTGAGGGGTTAGTAAAATTTACCTTCACTCGTGTAAAAACAAAATTTTATTTTAGGGATTTTTAGATTGTGGATACTACTTCAGCAGAGCTTCTCCCTTGGATGCCAGGGACCTCTGGTTCTTTTATGTATTTGAGGTCAGGCTTACCACTTAAGAATTGTGGATATCAAGATCAATGCTATTGCTTGATCTCCTCTTTTTCTTAATCTGCAGATCAATATAATCTTATTTTGTTATCCAGAAAAGTGTTTAAAATTCAACCAATCAGCGTGCCGTTTTCATAATCCGAACAGCCAATCAGAAGCCGGGAAATTTTGAACACAATGAATGTTAGTCGGAATCCAGCTGGGATATCTAACATACAGAATTACGCAGAAAATCGAAAGTTTCCACAGTGGATATTCAGATTAAACGATCGGTATTAAGTTTCCACAGTAGATATTCAGATTAAACGATCGATATTAAGGGTATCCAGTTCAAAGGCTTCGTTACAATTCTCGAAATTTTCTAGAAAATATTTAAAATGAATTTTCAAATTAAATTTTATTTTTATATTTTTAGGATGGAATTTGTAAACATCATAAACTGACGGTTCATGTTGTAACTGAAGACAACAAGGGCGGCAAAATACTCAGAGAGACGAGGAATTAAATGACGACTTCTTNGGAGCTGGGCCAATAGACATTAGAGAGGGATATTTTGAGACGGTTAACTCTAATAAATATGATAAAGATAATTCATGTTATTTCATGTTGGATAGTGGATATAGTGGCTGCAACAAAGCCTTTTGTATGCTTAGAATTTTAACTAGTAGTTATTATCATAAAAGTATGAAGAATTGACAATTATTAATTTCTTAAACTTGAGTCTACCAATATTAATTTCTTTAACTTGAGTCTACCAATATTAATTTCTTAAAGTTGAGTCTACCAATATTAATTTCTTAAACTTGAGTCTACCAATATTAATTTCTTAAACTTGAGTCTACCAATATTAATTTCTTAAACTTGAGTCTACTAATATTAATTTGTGTTTTTGTTTTATTTCAGGGATATGTGTCGGAATGAAGAATGGGCTTTCGAGGATTACAAAGCTGCGAAGATCGAGGCGTCTAAAGCTGCAGACTTTATTGGATACAAGATGGGGAAAGGGAAGAACAGTAAACTTCTGGAGATGTTGAGAAACAAACACAAGGATTAGAAATGTTGAACATTAGGCCGGAACTTTTGTGTAAGAAAGCGCTAATTTTGACTCCCGAATCAAACAAAAGTTCTGATCTCGGTATACGCCTGTTCATTGATGCCGTTATAAAGTTGTACTGGTCAATATTTTATTTAGTTTGGTTCATTAATTTGTCCTTTCCGCGTATACTTCAAAATATTTTAACTTTTTTATCTTCTTTACACTCGACATAGTTTTTATTTCTGTCCTTTATGTTCTCTCTCCACAGATATGCACTTCTTTTCTCTTTGCATGTTTTCTTTACATATTATTTATCTTTATTATGTTTACGTTCTTTAATTTCTTTTCAAAAAATTTGGGATGCGTTTTGGGTATTGTTAAGATTAATCCATGACCATTAAATTATTAAAGATTTCATTTTTGATTTTTTAATTGTTTTTTTATTTTAAGAGAAAATATTTAAACATAAAAATTAATATTATTGTTTTTGATTATTATAGAATGGCAACTATAATGTGAAAATCAGATATTATTTTTATTAAAGTTTATAATTTTAAGTATATGAAAAAGAATCTATTTTTGCAGATAAAAAATGGACGGAGAGGAGCACGACGAACATCTTCTTGACGGAGAAGAGGAGGAGGAGGAAGGGGAGGGGGTAGACCAGGTGAATAGACCGATCTACAGGATTGGTTTTAAGCAAACTGTACAAATGACCCTTCTATATATAAATTTAGCTTGTCTGTTTGTTTGTATCTAATACATGTCAAAACGGCTGCACCGATCAGGTCCAAATTTTGTGTGGGACCTCACGTGGCCCCAGGGAAAGTTTATGGCCAATCAGACTTAAAATATGTAATCCTATAATATTTTGATATTAAATTATTTAAATTTGTAAAATTTTGAAAATTCGCGAAAAAATCTTATGTAATCCGCAAATAAAAAAAAATTATTCTGTACTAAGAGAAGATGCTTACAGATAAAGCTACAATTAAAAGTTGAAAAAAAACATGGACGCGAAGCGGCCTTAAAGCCTAGTAAGTTTAAAATTGGCATGTCTGATTGACATGATACCTCAAACCTTTTGAGCGAACATAAGAATATAAGATTCCACTTTTTGCCTTGTAAATTTTTATTCTCTCAATTTTTTTATTTTCCAAATAAATTTTAATTTTAATTAGTTCAATACCCTTTGTCACCGATACATCAAAGTACAGTGGTTATTTTTCATTAAGGAAAATAATTTTCGAAGATTTTAAGATTAAAAGAAAAGTTAATTGAAAATTAGCCGGGAAGTTCCCTCCTTTTTGAGTTTTCTAGGGGGGGTGGGGGGTTAATGATTATAAAGTAAATTTATATCCCCCCAAAAAAAATTTGAAAACTAAAAAAATTGACAACTGGACCAAACAAAATGAGTAGACANCGGGGGTATTAGTCTTCTTTATTTCCCCCTTAAACTTGTTTTTTACCAAATCAAATGTTTAAATTTTATTTTTTTGGAGGGGGGGGGGCACGAAACTTATTATTTTCCGGAAAATTTAAACAATGATTAACATTTTGTGCATTTGAACTCAAAAATATGTATAATAATGCATTTTTGGTATTGAACGAATCTATGCATAAGTGCGCACGCTTTTTGTGAAAAATGCGACTTTTTCACATTTAATCAAATTATTAATTGTACTTAGTCTTGAAACCAGTGCTTGGGATCCATTTCAATTTGATGCGGATCCGTATACTGGATCCGCACTGTAACAAAAATGGTTCCTGATCCAAATCCGCATCCGGATCTAGGTCAGTTCTTCTAGATGTACTGATTTTTTTTAACCAATCAGAATTTCCAAATTTTTGTCTTATTTTTTTGTTTTTTCAGAAATCAGGAAATTTTTGTAATCTCTCCTTTTTCAACAGTTCAGATTTCGGTTTAGAGAGAAAAAAGTTTTTTTTTTTGCAGTTTTTGGTTGATATTTTGCCCCTTGGATCATGATCCATGGATCCGCATATTTTTGCGGATCCGGATCCAGGAAGCCAAAATCTTGCGGATCCAACTGATCCGGATCTGGATCCTAACCACTGCCTGAAACAAATATGCGCTCAAAAAATACAACTCCAAAGCCTTAAATGTCCGCGCGGGCGCGTAATAAAAGAAATTATCTTTAAATATTTATGTGTGCAAAGTTGGGCCTAAGTTACATTAAAAGTAGCATGAGAATAAGGATTACAATTCTACGAGGTTAAAATAGACATCGGACCATTCTGACTGGCGCGCTAGTAGATAACCATTACATTATGGGTCCTCTTTGCACAGGTTTTGCGTGTTGTATGTCAATTTATAGTTATTTGGGCACGAGGAATCCATTTCTAAGGTTAAAATGAATAATGGTGCATTCTGACCGGCACGCTAGCAGCCAGCAGTTACGTTATGGGTCATCTTAGCACAGATTTCACATGCTTTGTGTCGATTTAGAGGCTACGCCAATGCTAAGTCATGTTTATTCACTGTTTAAATTTTCCGGAGATAAATACGTTACGTGCCCCCCCCCCTATTACAATTAAATATTCTTTCTTTTTTGTTTGTTTGTGATTCGACTCCATGCCGCAGCTGCCCGTTTTGGCGCTGTGCCCCAAAAGGCAGTCTGGGTATTTGAATGTGGAATCCCTTTGTTTTTCTTTCATTCATTTTTTCATATTTTTATCTTTTTTGGCTTTCTCTTTTCTTTTTTTTTTTGATGAAATATGATTCTTGAGAAACTATGTAGAAATTAGTAAAGAAAAGGTTGATATAAATCAAAGATCCCAAAAACATTCTGATATTTTTAGATGGAGATGAAGGTATGGATGGTGGGGAGGAAGAAGAAGGAGAAGGTGAACTTTGTACAGAGGAAGGTGGAGAGGAAGGAAAAGAAGGATCTGATCCTAAAATTAAAGTAGGAGAAGAGAAAATGGAAGAAGACGGAGCAAACAACGCGGAAAAGGTAAAATTAGGTTATTTTTTTAGAATTTAGATTTGTCTTCTTTCTTTTAACATGAAGGCAATTTATAAATCATCATGAAGTGCCTTTATTTGATTTGATTTGATTAAGTTGTCGATATAATTAATTGATTGATGTTATCTACTGTATTTTAGAAGGCTCCAGCAGGAAAACCAGATACTAGAGGACGGGGACGAGGACGTCCTCCTCCTTATCCTCTTTTCAGACATCCAATACGCTTCCCCTTCGGACCCAGAGGACCTCATCCCCCGGGAATGCGTGGCATGCCCCCCTTCCGGTTCAGAGGACCTCCGGGAATGCCGCATCCCGGCTATCGAGGGCTTCCTGGATTCAGGGGTAGAGGTCCTCCACCTAGAATGGGACATCCCTTCCCACCCCGTCCTCCTCCACCTGGGTTCTGTCCTCCCTTTATGCGAGGACGTCCAGGAATGAGGCCGCCCATGGGACATCATCCTCCGCCCTTCCCCCGGGAGTGGGATGGAGGATGGGATGAATGGGAGAATCACGAGGAGCGGGGGAGGGGCCGGGGAGGAGATCAACGGAATAAGAAGAGCCGGGGGGCCAAGAATCAAATACAGACAGTGATTGCTGGGTCGGATAATAACACGGTGAATAACGGCGGTAGGAAACGCCCGAACAATATGGGGCATAGTGAACACCCGCCGAAAAGACAAATGACAAACAACTCCCGCCAACCAGTCCGAGGCGGTTATGGACAACCACCGCCCCAGATAAAACAAAATAATGTGCAACGGGTTCAGCAGGGGCGTGTTCTAGTTGGTGGGGATACTGGGTTTAGTATGGGTCAATGTCACAGTAATCTTAGAACTATTCAATGTGTAGATCCCCCTCCACCGCTGCAGGTAAAAATTTTAATATGACCACTCTTAAAAATTAGTTTTTTGTGGTCTTATGCAAATTGTACGTTTTTCATTCCCTGAATATGGGGAAATTAATGCAATGAATGGTTAATTGATTCAATGAATGGTTAGATGGTTGAGTGAATGATTAGTTGATTCAAAAAATAAATAAAAGATTGATAGTTTGATTGTATGATTGATCGCTTTATTGTATGATTGATTGGTTGGTTGGTTAATTGATTTATTGATTATTGATCCAACTTTGTCCAGGTGTCCCGAGGACCTAAACAGATTATTCATAATCCTAGTCCAACACTCACCTCGGTTCCTATACAGATGGATTGCGATTCATCCCCCAGGGTAATCCATTTATTCTTTCATCCTTTCAGTCATCCTTCCTTACTTTCACTCTTTCATCCATTCTTTCATTCATCCTGTAATTCATCCTTTTAACCGCTCATTTTTTTTCTTCACACCATTAACCCCAAATCTTTGTTGACACAAAAAGTGTACTGTAAAAATTCAGAGCTAGACTTAGTTTTGTTTATATCGCTCCCGGAAACTGCAGTACGCTTGTTATTACAAACAAAGTTATGGGGGCTCCTATCTCAATAGCATGAATATAGTGTAAACTCGGAATGCTTTCCTTCTCTGCTGTTTCTTTCCAATTTCCTTCAATTATATCATTTCTCTTTATTTTTTGTGACTTTTTATAGCTGCTGATTTAATGTACTTCCCACACTGCTGAAAATGGACCATCAGTTTTCAAGTTAAAGCACCTCAACTTTTTCTTTGGATTATGTTAATATGCAGGCTACTGAGTTATATTCTCAATTTTCAGAAAATGCCACCTAGGGAATTTTGAGCAAATCAATTTTTAAGAAATTGTAGAAATCAAGTGCATTCACAGGTCTTAAAATAAACAAAAATTTCATTTCAAAACTTTATTTTGCTTCTTCTGGGTTTTTTGACGATATTTTTTTAACAGTATATGACATGGTCTCCAAATTTTATTATTTTTCTTTAACAATTATGAAACTTACTGTAGCAAAAAATCAAACCCCTAAGTTAATATATTCCGAAAAAAATAGGTGTTTTGACTTGAATCTTGATGGTTCATTTTCAGTAGTGTGTTCCACGTATGCACACTTTTTCCTCTTGCGCCCGTAAAACTTTTTTTTGCGGTTTTTCAGCAGATTTAAATCGATGAAAGTTTTGCCTCGCATCTTGTTTTAAATCATATTCCTTTGTGTATTGTGACACATTTCCATAATGTTGGGTGTCCGATTTACAAAGGTACCCTTTAAAACTTTAATAATTGAGTAAGTGTGAGAAAGGTAAGAAGCGGTTTTTTCCTCTTTAAAGTCTGACAATTCTATCATAAATCTTTAAGTTACATGTAAAGAGAACACACAATATAAAGTTATCCATTTCACCTAGAAATCAAATGTCTCATTCTACTAATTTACAAGTGTAAAAAGAGTACCATTGTGATTCGGACATGTACCCACAGATGGAGGGATTATTGAGTATATGTGGACAGTCCCTTCTGTTCTTGTTTATATTTGATTATCTAGCTAATGATATATTTTGTAGTTATTGGAGCTTGATGGGTCTTTACGACGCAAAAATGTGCATGTTTCATCATAATTTGCATCTGTCATCTTAATTTGCATCTGTATGGCGCAATTGGCAAAAACTTTCCTTTTTTCCTGAGATATTTTCATTTTTTAAATTAATATCAGTGCCTAGGATCCATTTCATTTGATGCGGATCCGGATCCGGGTCATGAACATTTCTTATAATTTACTTATTTTTCGAACAAAGGAGAAGTTTAAAAACATATTTCTCCTTTTTCGCTTAATTTTATGCTAGAACAAGAGCCACTCAGAGATAAGGAAATGTTTTATAGTCATTGGCCACCCTTTTTTAACAGTTAAGATTTGGGTCTTTGAGCAAACAGTTTTTCTGACAGTTTTTGGTTGATCATTTGCTTTTGGATCCGGATCCATGGATCCGCATTTTTTTGCCGATCCCGATCCAGAAAGCCAAATTGTTGCGGATCTAACGGATCTAGATCCTAAAGCACTCGCATCACATTGTCAGAATTCTTGAGCTACTTCATTATTGTATAATGTTCACTAGTGTGTTTCAATTTGTTATATAAAATATTTTACCAAAATTGGCAAAGTTGTGACCGTTAAACTGTCAGCTTAATGACATTCGTCAATATTTTGAGTCAAGTTTTGATCTTGAGAGAGTTACAATTTTCATCTAATATTATTATTATTAGTAGTTTTATAATTATTATCATTTAAAAAAAATTGGATTAAATATTCTGATCAAAAACTCAGATTTTTCAGTATTTTAGGTCATTATTTGATTTTGTTTACTTCGTTTTGTGACTTATTTTGGACTTAGTATTATGCCGAAATTGGGTCAAATTGTCAGATTTGTGTCGTCAGTTCTTTAAAGCATTTTGCATGTTTAATTCACAACAGTATTCTTGTAACCTTAATCTGATAAGCAGTGATGAAGATATTAGCGTTATTCTAACTTTAAAAAATTCTGTTGGATGGTCACTAGTCAGGTTCAGTGATTATTTGATAATATTTATTTGCAGTGAGCAGAAGAGCGCCGTGGTTGAATTCCGTGAGTCTGGTTCTGCTGATCTATTCTCCAGGTCACACAACAGGAAGATGATGGACCTTGCCATCATCACTGCCACCCGGCTCATGTAGGATATACAGACAACATTCTGGATATACAGACAACATTCTGGGTATTCAGACAACATTCTGGATATTCAGACAACATTCTGGATATACAGACAACATTCTGGATATACAGACAATATTCTGGGTATTCAGACAACATTCTGGATATTCAGACAACATTCTGGGTATTCAGACACCAGTCTGGATATACAGACAACAGTCTGGGTATTCAGACAACATTCTGGATATACTGACAACATTCTGGTTATTCAGACAACATTCTGCATAAACAAACAACATATATTTAGATTTCAAGTCACAAAAGGAGCGACCAGAATTATCAAAATTGAAAGATTTATCTTTAAATCAACGGTTAAGATCTTAAAAAACGGCTTAATTAGTTTCGATCCCGTTCTTAATAGTTCTTTAAAATAAAAACTGATAGATGAAAGGGGTGGGGGTTTAAACGCTTTATTTTTAAGTTTTTTGAAACCAAAAATATAGATTCTATTCAAAATCACATAAAAAAATTAACTTTTGACATGAACATCAACAAAAATGGAGTTCTTTTGCAAATAAATTTTTTAACAATTTTCCATGTTTATCTTTTTTATTGCTCACTGGCACTGCATGCTGGTTTAAACCTTATTTATATTTTTGTCGCTTTTTTACATTCAATATCTTAGAATTTAAGCTCACTATGACCCAGACCTTTTGTTGTTTGATAGTAATGCCATTTTATCTTTTTTCTTAATTTTGAAGAAGAACAATTAACTTAATAATTTTTATGATCGTAACTCAGTAAAAATTACTTTTTGAGCAATGTCGACTTTGCTCGATTAACGTCGTTAATTGTTATTTTTTATTAATATACTATCTTGTTCATGCAAATATGTGTTTGTTATACAGGCAATATGTGGGTTTGTACAGTCAAATGTTTTCTTGGACATACAAATTTACGTAAATGTAAAGGTGTACTTGTACACGCAAAGTTTTTAACCCTCTATATTGGTTTTGTGTAATCTAATCAGTTTTGACTGTAATTACGTACTTAGTATTTTTATATGAAAAAAAATCAGGCATTTTTGTATTCTGTAAATTCGATGAAAATGTGTGAAACTTGTAATAATCATTACCATTTACTACATTAGAAAATTCTGCATTTTTTTGTAAATGGTGAATGGTGATGGATATTGTGTAGAATGTAAATCCTATTTACCCTGCTTATCAATTAAAAACATGTACAGTACTGTACACTGCATGTACTTGGACATAAGCATGTACTGTACAGCCAATATTTCCCGCATATTCTCATTGTATGTAAATTCTAGCTACGTGGCATTGTAAATAATATTTGTTAACGATTAAAAATTTGTCCACAAAAAAAACGACGCTTTTGATTATGTAGATTGAAGACTAGTGTTAAATGGCTTATGTACATAATGAAATCTCTGACCAGTCAGGACAGTACATGAGTACATGACCTTGAAGTTACTGTACCCAGGAAATTGTTTAAATTTTTCCTGTTGAATTCAGACTTAAGATGGAAGTTGATGCCATGAAAAATAAATGTTTCTATTGGAATTAACATATTAAATTTTTTTGAAATGAAGTAATTTTTTTTCTTTATTCTTTGTTATATTTACCCGATGCCACTAGTTGATGTGATGCCATTTTGTTGCCTTTTTGGATTATTTTTTTTTGCATTGTATTATATTTTTCTTGTCAGGTTAAATTCCAAAAGTTGCCATAAGATAAAAGCCATGGTGAATTTCCAAGGCAAAACGTAAGATAAACAATTTTACCATATTACATGATCTCATGTAATGATTTAGTTTGTGTAAAAATTCATTAATATTTAAGATTTTTTTTTTACCATTACTTCCTAAAGATAAATTAAGCATGGTACCTGAAAATTTATTAATCTTAAACCTCTACGAACTAAAAGATTTACATTTTTCTCAAAACCTTTGAAAGGAAAACGTTCTTGCTTCTCAAAAACTGATCGAAATAACTGATGAATTATTTTAATTTTGGTACTTTAAATGATATTTACAAACTAAGTATCATGTTTGAAAATTAAAATTTTATAATTGGCGTAATTGACGTTTGATGGCTTCAAAGAGACATCCGAATTAAGTAAGAAACCCAATCTCCAATGCGTTTAGTGTTGAAATATTTCTTGAAACGTAATTTTATAATTTTTTATTTTATACAAGATTAGTCTCAGATAATTTTTTTATTTCTAGTCGTATAAAAGGCAAACTGTAAGTCATGAAATTATATCAGTATTTTTTATCCATTAATTTTTAGTCAAAATAATTTAATAAGTAAAAAATTTACATTATGAACCTGTTACAAAAATGAAGACATTTCAAAACGAAAATATATGCATTTAAGTAATTAAGTACCTTTTTATATTGTTTATTACATTGTAAGACAATTTTAATTAGTCTTTCACGATGTAAATAGAAAAGATTTTCGGAATTTCTATATGTTCAACAAAAAAGTTCCTAAAAATCAGCCTACTAAGCTCGGACTAAGCTTGGCAAAATGATGTACTTTCTCCATAGAGTGCGACTTCGGGAAAAGCTGTACAGTGTACAGTGTCTGACTTCAAATCCACAAGCAAAAATGTTAAGCCCATCGCAACCTATCGTGAGAAATTTGATAGCTGTGCGAACTGTACAATTATACACAGCATCGGAATTTTAATTATGTACAGTGTAAACTTCTGGACTGGATTTAAGTGCTATGAAGTGGGCGCAGTTGTGTTCACAAGAGACGAAAACGAAAGAATGGAGAGAGCAAATCTAAATTCCGTACTGAAGAAACATTGTAAAATGTACATATATGAAGCTCCTTACAGCGTACAAGATCGACAAGAATCTCTGAACTGTACACGATGAAAGTAATGTTTACGCACTACATACTGAAAATACTTAAGTCTACATTGTAAAAAGTCCTGAATAGCGCAAAATTAGTGAATACTGTACATGCTGAAAGTACATTAGTGTACAAGGTCTACAAAACCCATAAAATGGTTTAAGTAGGAGAAGTTTACTGTACATGTTGTAAGTTGTCCAGTGTACAAGGCCTGAAAGATTTCTCCTGAACAGTGCCTGGTACATGTTGTTATAATTGCCCAATGGACAGCGTACATGTTGAAAGTACTGCAGTTTACACTCTACTTTGTACAAGGCCTGCAGGGAACTCTGAACTTTTCTAAATACGGGATTAGATTTAGATTGTTTTTTTTTCGGGAAGTGTAATAATTGTGATGTTATTTATGTTATTATATCAGTGTAAGAATGTTGTTGGTATAGTAATTTACATGTAAACGCATTTTATGCAAATCATTATTCATTCAGAATTGTTCTTAAATATCCATGTTAACTTCACGTTTGATGATGAAAATCTTTTCAGATTAATACGATGATTGGACCTCTACTTGTATTTGATTTTGATCAAACCATTGCAGATCTTAATACAGATGTCGAGGTACATAGAGGCTGGATAAGAACAAATACAGTGGGAGACATAAAATTATGGAAATTAAAGCAATGTATTTAAAGTTGATATAAAGCAAAAAGTTGGACTAGTAGTTTGCAAAAAAAAAACTATTTAAGTAAAATGGGTCTTTGTATACACTGAACAGTTGCAGTGCCAACTTTCTGTTTGATATGTTAATTGGACTATTCAATCATAATATGAGTCTTAGTCGTCTTACTATTCCACAGGTTTATCGGTCCCAATGTTTATCAAGTTAAAAAATCAAAATTATTACCGATTTTTCCCAAATCAATTTGAAAGTAGGAAATTTTCGTCGTATCTATATATAAATTTGGCGTGTCTGTCTGTTTGTTTGTATCCAATAAACGTCAAAACGGCTGAACCGATCGGGCCCAAATTTTTTTTGGGACATCACGTGACCACAGGGAAGGTTTATGAATGATAAAAAATTTTTAAAAATGTGTTTTAAAGGTTTTTAATTTTGTAAAAAAAAAAAAAATTCTTGAAAATCCGCGAAATTTTTTTCTTCTTTGTTTTAAAATGTAAACAAAAAGAACATGTTCACAATTTAAATAGAAGATGGGCGCGAAGCGCCCTAAAAGCCTAGTTTTAGTAAATTTGCATATTTAAAAGAAATACGCTCCCGAGAAATGGCTGAAATATTGAGGAATCTACACAATTTAGATCTGTGAAGAAATCAATACCATTGGAGATCGTACTTTTTCTCTGGAGACCCTTTTTTCATCGAAGATCCCAGACTTTCTCTAGGAACCTCGTGGGGTCTACACTCGACAGCGAAAAATTGAGGGCTATGTTCGTAGATTGAATAGAAAAGCATTAAAAAACTTGTGCACGTTTTCGTTCGCTTATTGAACTTTAAAATATTTTGTTTAATTAATATTCATCCACATTTTGTATTTAGGTACAGAAGTTACATCCTGAGGGGAAAATACCAGAAACATCAGAAATTCACAAACTATACGATAAAAGTAATTAAATAATTATATTTAAATAAAAGATTTCAAAAAAGTTCACTATAGAGTAATTTTATAATATCATTGAAGAACGGATTTTATGTTGTGAATTGCAATATAATTAATTCTATTTTATTTTTGTTCAACCCACTTATTCCTTATAATCTTTAGGTTTTATTTTTACTTTTTTACTTATGATGTCAATTTTAGCTGGTTGGACGGATTATATGGGAGCTGTATTCAAACTCCTTCATTCCCATAATATTAGTAAGGTATGTTTACAATGAATATATGGGAGCTGTATTTAAACTCCTTCATTCCCATAATATTAGTAAGGTAGATTTACAATGAATATATAGGAGCTCTATTTAAACTCCTTCATTCCCATAATATTAGTAAGTTAAGTTTACAACAAATATACGGGAGCTGTATTCAAACTCCTTTATTTCCATAATATCAGTAAGGTAAGTTTACAATGAATATATGGGAGCTGTATTCAAACTCCTTCATTCCCATAATATTAGTAAGTTAAGTTTACAATAAATTTATGGGAGCTGTATTTAAACTCCTTTTTTCCCATAATTTTAGTAAGGTAAATTTACAATGAATTTATGGGAGCTGTATCTAAACTCCTTCATTCCCATAATATTAGTAAGGTTAGTTTACAATGAATATATGGGAGCTGTATTTAAACTCCTTGACTCCCATAATGTTAGTAAGGTTAGTTTACAATGAATACATGGGAGCTGTATTTAAACTTCTTCATTCCCATTATATTAGTAAGGTAAGGTTTGGAAATAATATATGGGATACCAGTTGTGTTTAAACTCCTTCATTCCCATAAAATTAGTAAAGTAAGCTATTTAAAAAAATAAATGGGAGCTGTGTGTAACCTTCTTCTTTCCCATGATATTAATAAAGTAAGTTTATAAGGAATATATAGGAGTTGTATTAAATCTAATTCATTCCCATAATATTAGCATATAAGGGAGTTGTATTTATACTTCAGTACCACTTATTAATTAAATATAAATATATAACTATATACAACTATTATATTAATTAGCAAATTACCCAACCCACTACAAGAAATATATGGGAGTTCTATTAAAACTACTGTATGCCCACAAAAAAAATTTGTGTTTTAAAAAATTTACTAATTTAGTAGTAGATCTCACGGTAGGGAATAACACCCTGAAGGCAGTCCCCCTTTTGGTTCCCTTTCAGATTTACATTTGATTTGATTTGATTTGATTTGATTTGATTTGATTCGATTTGATTCGATTCGATTCGATTCGATTCGATTCGATTCGATTCGATTCGATTTGACTTTATTTGATTTGATTCGATTCGATTCGATTCGATTCGATTCGACTTGATTTGATTTGATTCGATTTTATTTAATTTAATTCGATTTTATTCGATTTGATTGGATTCGGTTTGGTTTGGTTCGGTTTTGTTTGATTTTATCAACAATTTTAATTGTTAATATTGTTCATAAACAAATTTAGAATCTGTAAAAAAAAGATAAGTTTACTGAATCTCAATGAATACTTAATTAGATATTATTTTTATTCATCAGGACCAGATTTTGGAGTTGATGGGGTCACTTCAGTTCACCCCGGGTAGGTATTATAAATTTTGAGGTTGTCGGGGAAATTGTTGGGGAGAACTATATTCTATTTTTTTTTGGGGGGGGGGGGGCAGGGTGGAATTTCAGTGAGGAAAATTTGTTTACAAAATATGGGTGGAAGAAAAAAGTTTTATTTTTGTTGAGGGATGGGAATAATTAGTTTCGGGTATTGAATGTGGGAAACTTTCGATAAACAAATTTTGCTCTGTTGATTGTTGTTACCTGAGTTACAGAGTCTCAAACATTTGAAAATCTTTCCTTTCATCAACCCGCCAAAACTTGCATACAATATTTAAAAACTATTTTTCTGAGTAGAAAAATTGTTATTTAAGAAACTAAAATTCAGCCACAAAAACAGCATCAACATAATTTTGAAATTATTAAGAATGAAAGAAACCATATTTATGTTTTTTTTTTTAAAATGATCAATTTGTTTTGTTTAGGTATGGTTGAGCTGTTGAAGACCAGTGTAGAGGAACACAATGCTAAAATTATCATAATCTCAGGAACAAAACATTTTTCAACACTAAATATTGATTTTAATAGAGAATTAACGAAAGGGGAAAGATTTTACTCAATAAATCCCATCAATAATAATATTGGCTGTAGGGATGTATTTTGTTTATTCATAATTTGTCACTCCTCCAGTTGAAATAATTGTAATTCAAAGAAAAAGAGGAAAACAAAGAGAATATGGACGAAAAATGAATAAGAAAAACTCTAATTTTGTAATTTCATATATTTTGTATATAACATGATGAAGTGAATATGAACAGTTTAGAGAAATTAACCTTTTCACATGGGGGGGGGGGGGATCAAACCTTAGTAAGAATAAACTTCCCTCTGTTTCATTTATCATTTTATTTGTGCTAATGTTTTTACATAACTTGCTAAAGATGTATTGAAAAAGCAGAAACTTTTATCATATTTGTGTTTTATAAATTCGACTTTTCAAAAATAAAATTTTAAAAGTTCTGTTTTCTAGATTCAAATTCAGTGTTTATTGAGCATATTTTGGAGTATAATGGACTTAAGCATTTGGTAAATATTTCATATCATTTTATTTACAAATCAGGTTACCCTCAGCTCCAACCAGTACCAGCTATTTATTTAATTCTATCATCCTTTTCTTGAGAAACTTAACTTTTTCCCTAGAATATTCACACACAAATATAATAGCTAAATTGTTATCAAGTATTAATGATGTTTTGAAATTTACTTTTGTTGAATATTGGATTTCAATTTTGATTTACATTTGGGTAGGCTTTACATTAAGAAGGCTGGGAACTTACTTATTATTATTCTTATTACCATTCAATCTATAGTCAAAGAATCATGTCCTAATGACAATGATACATTGATCTCTAGGGTTAAGCGCCAGCAACTTACCTGTGTCCGCTTGGGTCTCAGGGAACATATCGGGTTAGAATTTTTTAGGACTCAGTGTGTATGCCAGATATATAAGGAAGTCAAAAAATGCTTCAAATAGCATTTTTTAACAGTTCACATATCTGTTCGAGAGTAATCAAAGTGTTTCAAAATTCATAATAAACAATGTTAAAATCAAAAGGTTTTTTTTTAAGAACCCCCCCCCCCCTTTTCAGGGGAAATGACTTTTGACCATAAGGAAAATTAAAATGTGTTATTTTGATACTTTTATGTACTTTGCACAAACATTCCTAACAGTTTTTGGGGAGGGGGGATTGTTAAGCTCAAGAAAATAAATGTCCCTGTAATATTCATGTGAATTTACCTTAGCTGAGATTTTTTACGTCCAGGTCTTTCCTTGGGTCTACAATTAGTCCCAATGATTCTAATTTGTTCTTATTTGACCAATGAGAGAGCTCTGTCTGCAAAATGGTCTGCAAGTCAGCTGATTGGTTCAGTTTAAATTTTGAAAACTCAAACTTTACAAATATATATTTTAGTGAGTTTAACTTACAAATCTAACCAATTTTATAACTACATATAATTATAGAGATTTTAAATGTTAAGATAAAGGCTATTGAAATTTACAATCTCCTGCCTTTGTACCCCCCCCCCCTGGAGGTGAAATTATTTGACAATAATTAAAATGAAAATTTTGTTCATCATAAAAATTACAAACATTCCGAACAATATAAGGGGGCTCATAAAAATAAATACCCCTGTAATCTTGATGTGAATTTACCTGGATTAAACCGTAGGTTGATGCTGTTTTTACCAACCCTGCTGAGTGGGGGGAGGAAGGGTTAACAATCAAACCATACCATCACCAGGTATTTACTAGATTACACAAAGGACAAGACAATTCTTGTTTATGAATAAACCAGTGATTAGGATCCATTTCTGATGTTCTAGATCCTAGATCCTGGTTCAGCCTGGAAAAAATAAATCCAAATCTGGATGAGAATCAGGGTCCTGGAATTTTTTTTTAAGATTTACTGGTTTTTTAAAACAAATCAGTTAATAATGAATTAAAGAAAAAAATCACTTATTTTTATGCTTAATCCTGATGAACCATTCAGAGTTACGTAAATTTTTCATGATTAGAGGTTTAAGATAAAATATGAACCTGCATAGTGCATATGCTTGCAGGTCCAGATCTCAAGCACTGACATATTGAGTTCCAAAAAGTTTATAGCTTGGCACAATAAATGATGGAGCAAATAGTTAAGTCTAACGGTTATCCTTCTATTTCACAGTTTTAAGGGTCAATTCCATAGGTGAAACAATTTTTTTCCATTCCAAATTTTTAGATTTTTGATTGCACATTGTACAATGCACAATTTATGTGAACTAAAAGGTAGAGAAATATTGAGGGTTTATATTGAAAGATTAACAGGGGGAGGGTAATGAAAAAATTGACATGAAAAGGCAAGTTTGTTCATCTTTTGTATTACTTTTCACCCAAAAATTTATTCATTTTCCCCTAAGAATCATTTATTTTCAAAAGGGAATGATTTTCCAGGAAAATATATGTTTCTAAAAATATTTTAAATTAAATCTCAGTCTGGGTTGGTACAAATTTTCATCGAAAATGTGAAAAATATTTTTAGGTTTTCAAGGATCCTCAATTGAATTCTAACTCTAGTTGTTTTAGGTCGAATGTGAATTGAGCACACAAAATCTTTGCAAGGAAAAAATCAGAAATATATTTTAAATGTTATTATTCATCAACTCTTATTTTTTAGCGGTAATTTCAATGAAATAAAATGTTTAATATCTTAATATTGATTGATTGATTGATTGATTGATTGATTGATAGGGGTCAATCAGGTAGATAGTTTGTAGGTGAATTAGGTAGATAGTTCAGTGTTCAGGATTCATTTCAGCGCAAGGTCTAATTTGAAAACTTGTTTTTGGGCTAGCACACTTTTACAGTGTAACAAGGTATATTTATTCAGCATTATTTCGATATTTAAATGTAGCTGTCGATGGCTTTCTATTCATTTGAAATTTGTATGGAACCACTTAAGGAGCTTGTGTGCTAAATTTATTTTTCAAGGGTGATTTGGGTCAACCTAATGCACAATGTTGAGTTTCATTTTATAATTTATGTTGGGTACCATCAATCAACCTGTCAATCAATTAATCTCAGGCCATGCTTAAAGTAGAAAGGAATTGTGTATAATTGGTTGTGTCTTTAGAACGAAGAGTTCCCCTTTATAGTTTATGTTGGAGATGGTGGGAATGATTACTGCCCTGCTCTTAGGTAAATATTGATTTTACATAATTTAAATTTAAATTGTAATATAATTACAAGTAATTAATTCCTCCAGTGCTATGTGTTTTCAAGAATTACAAAAACGAAAAATATAAAGTTTTCTACTATTTTCATTATGTTAAAAATCATTTTTTTTCCTAAATAAGTTATAAAGCTCCCTAGATTGTTTTTGTTCTGATTACTGATTCATTACTTTACATCTGGGGGAACAAAATGATTTAAAGAGGAAGGGGGGATTTCATAAAAATGTATACAGTACCCCTTGGCCCTTCCTTCATAACTACATTAATATGTTTATGCTTCTTAGAAATTTTTTCTTTTAAATATTTATTCATTTAATCATGTTCTTAATTCTTGTGGTTAATGTCACTCTCTTGTCAGAGTTTTTGGTGAAATTTAATTTTTGGTAGTAAAAAGTATATAAATAAAGAAGAATATGTGATTTTTCAGGGGGAAGGGGGGGAAAGGGAACTTGTACTGTATACAGTATACACCCCTGATATTTTATGTTTTTGTCAAAGGGGATGGTGGAGATGTCCTATTTGATGTAGGAACTCAGGCAGAACATTTTTAATTTGGAGGTCATCAGAGGTCATCATAGGTCGTCACGAGGTCATTTGAAGGTTAAGCAATGAATTTCGTTTTTGTTGCTGTATTATTTGGATGCCTAGCTTTCATTTGATATACATAAAGCCATAGTTATAACATTTTCAATTTGAAGGTCATTCGAGGTCTTTATAGGTCTTAAGAGGTCATTTGAAGGTCCAAAATCTCCCCCACTCACATCAAATAGGACATATCCACCATCCCCTTTAGTGCATTCAAGTTTCTGACATTTGATGTCCCCGTAAAATTTTGTATATTCAAGTTTCTAATACAAATAGGTATTTTTTATTCAGAGAAAACATTTCTTTTAATAAATCATTTGGTTCTGCAATATATTCGAAGTGTAAGATTTTAAGGTTTTTAAGGGTTTTTTTTGCCGAATTGGGAATAGAAGTTAAAAAGTATCTAAAAGGGAAGGAAAACTTAGTGATGTTGAATATTTCCTTTTTTTTAAGATCTCCTAAATATATACCCTTGTGCTAATATGAATTTTGAATACTTTGTATCCAAGTGATCCAAGTAAGTCTCAAAGTGTATTTTCCTGTGTAGATTAGGAGAGAAGGATATTATGTGTGTGAGGGAAGGATTTTCTTTGCATAAACAGATTCTCAAGAAAGAACAAAACAATGAACTTAAAATGAGGTAAGTATTAAACATTAGACAAACATTTTCTGATTGTTTCCATCTTGTAATATCTATTCTAGCATTCTTTACCCTTTTTTATAAATTTAAACAAAGATAACCATTTCCGTAGAAAAATAGGATATTAACTAGAATAAACTTTTTCTCTTTTTTTGTTTTCAACATTTAGCTGATTCCGATTCTTCACATTATCCCACAAAATATCAACCAAAAGCTGGGGGAAGAAATTTTTACCGTTAAACTAAGTTTTTCCCAGTTAAAGTCAATTTATGGAGCTTGTTCTAAGTAATTTCACTCAGATAGAAGATAGCTAAAAATTTTATGTTGTTATTTAAAATAGAATTAAGTTAATCCGTCATTGGCAGACTAAAATAGATTCAGATTATGCTTTCTGAAGGAATTTACCATATACAAGTTACGCCTTATTAAGGGACTGTAAGCATAATTTACCATATACAAGTTACGCCTTATTAAGGGACTGTAAGCATAATTTACCATATACAAGTTATGCCTTATTAAGGGACTGTAAGCATAATTTACCATATACAAGTTACGCCTTATTAAGGGACTGTAAGCATAATTTCAAGTGACCCTCTTCTGTACATGGCCATATTTGCATTGGAAGTACACTTAAAGTTACGATGACAGTCCCTTTAAAAAGTTAAAGTAAAATCAGAGGTATAATTTTTTTTATTTTGGGGTTTAAGAAAAGGTTGATAGGCAACTGGAAAGATTCTGATAAAATGTTATTTTCCCTTCTGTTAAGGAAAAAATTCGAATAACTCTTTGCGAAAAGTAAAAGTCTTGGATTAGATTTTACTTATGACAGGAATACAATAATATCCCATTATCCAGGTGCAAGCTGGAGTACTGGAATTCTGGACTACAGATTCTCTCATCCTTACAGTCCAGGATCAAGGATGGAGTTCAGGGATAGATTAGATACATGTCTGGTTGTACCAGCGTTTCGGATCCGGATCCGGATCCGGTCGGATCTGTATCATTTGGTCGGATCCGGATCCGTATTGACCGAAATATATTTTCAATAAATGTGGAACTAACATCTACTTTTTTACTCTACAGAGGTTTGGTCCATCACCATCACTAAATTTTGAAAGAAAAATATTTGTGAAATAAACTGAAGAAAAAAATGTGACCAATACTATTTAAAAATTGTAAATAATCTCTAATTCAATAAAAATTGTGTCACAGATATTATACTTAAAAACATACACATTGATAATTATTGCCTTCGGCTACATTCTGAGTTTTAAAAACAATAGTTTTTAAGTTTGTTCCAAAATAATCATTCTTTCAGTAAAAAATTGAAGTTATTTTTAAATCTAAAGGAAAATTTGTTCGTTTATTTTTTAAGTTCGTTTTGTTTTCGTTGTTTTTTTCGTTCGTTTTTTTCATTTCTGTTTTTTCTTCTGATCGACACCATCGAGCACGAAAAAATGTTGTTGGTACCCAAACTTATTTCGCTGCTAATTTTATTTCTGTTTCAGTAGACAATTTGAACAATTTTTTTGAAGTAAACAATCATGTCATGATTATTTATTGTGGCAGATACAAATTTGCCCAAATAATTTAAGCGTATAGTTTAAGATCAAAAAGTTTTGCCCTAGGAAGAAAAGAGTTTTCTTTTACGTTCTGATTTTAACCATGTGTTAACGGTTTGCTGTAATATTTAGATAACGTTACAAACTCTTTAGGTAACCGTTCCTTCTCAGCTGATCTGTTCGTTAATTCGGTAATTCCTGTTTTTTCCAAAAGTAACAGATGGTTAAACATCTCAACGGAAGATATTTCAGAAATCATTTAAACGTAAAAAAATCAACACAAAACAATTTTGAGCAGTCAAATTAATTTAAACCACCGTTATTTTAAAACACATCTGTTCTTTTTTAAGTATTTCTGTCGTTTTTTTCATGAACGGGTATTTTTTCGAAATGAACGGTTTTTTGCTGTTCGTCCTACTAACTAGTAAAATGTGTCTGTAGTCACTGCACAATTTCCATGTTTAATATTTGTTGGACAACATAAAATCATGTTTTGAGTCTAAAAGTTGTCTACCTCCATTCACCACAGTTATTATTGTACTTAAATTCAAATAAATGTCGGTGGAAAAAGAAGGATCATTGTTGGTCTTTTCTAGGGTTTCTAGCGAACGAAAACTTTAGCGAAAAAAATGCGAAACTTTTCGTTTGTACTTCGCAAACTTTTTGCGAAAATGAAAATTATTAAAGATTTCGCAACATAAAAAATTCCGCGAAAAGTTAAAGCTTCAACAATTAATTTTCGCGAAATTTGTATTTTTTCGCGATCTAAAATAAGCGGGAAATTATGCTAAATTTCGCGATAAAAAATTCGTTAAAACTGAAGTGTTGTAGCTTCAACAATTAATTGCGCAAAAAAATCTCTGCTTTGGGAGCACAGCATTAGTAGTTTTATTATATTGTAATTTATAATTTCTCTTCCTTTACTTAAACAAATGTGTAATGAAGAGAATTTGACCTATCTAGTAATGCTAAATTTCGAGCAAATAAATGCTAAATTTTCGACGTCGGGAAAATACAAAATTTTCCGGAAACGATTTTTCTTTTCGCTTGAAACCCTAGTCATATCCTTGTTGCATTCCCCCTCCATCTTAGTATGTCTTAGTGAATGTTCCAAGCAGTTAAGTTTAATTGTAGAAATGAATTGAATTTGCTCGACTAACAGAATCCTAAGGACTAAGGAGGCTCCACAGGGAGCTAAGATTAAATTTAATTAAGTTCATTTTAAAGAAAAAAATTCAATTTTAGACTAACACAAGGTTACCCATAAAGAATGAAACTGAAAAGACGACCGGAAACTCTTAAAATGTCACGACTCGAAGATTAAAATATGAATTTTGGCTTAGATATAGTAATTTATTGGCTTATTTAATGATTTGGCTGGCTTAGAAACAAACATGTTTACGGTTGCAAGGAAACAGAGTAAAAATTCCGTACAATCATCGCCCATGTCTTATCCTTTGTGGGTAACCCTGTACTAAACGAATATAATATTTTTATTGATATAAAGAAAAATTGCTCAACTGTTAATCTTTATCCTCTTTACGCTTTTAAGAAATATGAGAAGAAACTTGGACGCTCGATTTCGATCCAAGCCAAAAATTTGAAATTGGCGAAATTTTATGCTTTTAAGACAAATCTTATTTTGGAAATTTCAGCGCTGCGGTTAGGCTAGGGGGCTGGGCGATGCGGCCACAAGTCCATCTAGCAGCTGCAAAACCACGTGCTAGTAGGTCGGATGTTAAGTATAATGGATTTGACGTAGGTCAGAAGTGGAGTATAGCGGATTTGCGTAGGTCGAAAGATATCTCTCATAAGTCATGATTAGTAAAACATGCATGTATATAACGTTTTCTACTATTGTTATAGTTAGTTTAAGACTTAGTACTTGACTAATAATAACTAATTCTAATTGAATATGTATGCAAATTTATTATAATAAAAATACTCGTAAGAAAAGAGTTTTAATTCTGAACTGTTTCTTCAAATGATTTTCTCCACAGAATTAATTCCTCTCCAAACCCTAAATTATATAAAAACAATAAACATAACAAATTAAAATTGATATTTTCACTGGTATTTAACCTTGATTTACCAAACAATTTTAAAAGTGATAGATAAGGCTTAAGTTGCGAGTAACCAAGGGTGTAACCTGTAGTAAAGAAGGTCTGCATAAATTATGTACAGTCGTCTCCGAAGTCTTATTTTTTGTGGATAACCCATTATATCAATATACCTGTAAAAAGTTTCCAAAGTTGCTGGTTTAATGCAACCCCTTAAACTTGACACCCTCTTCAGATCTACAGATGAGAACCTAAAGGAGAGATTTATGTTTATTTGAGATGAAGTCTTACTAGGATCAAAAATTTAAATTAGTTAAATACAATTTTATTTAATTAAAGTAACATTGATCTACTGTACGCTGTACAGTAGATCAATCCAGTATTCTCCTATGTACGCTGTACAGTGGTTTACCTACATGATCTCCAGTATTCTCTGATGTACGTCAATGTTTGCTGTATCCTGGCAGTACAATTCGGTAAAGGAGATCGTTTCCAGTATATCTAGGAAAGAACTACTGTAAAACACGTCTGGGCCCTTTTTTACTCACGTGTAGGGTTGTTAATCGTTTTTGTAAACGATCGTTTATTGTTTCGTTTTCAAAAACGATCGTTTTTAAAAACAACCCACTCGCTTTGAAATTTTAGAAAAGGAATAACGATCGTTTTTATTAAAACGATTTCCGACCGTTTTTTATACGATTGTTTTTTTTTATAACGATCGTTTTTGAAAAAAATGTTATTAACAGTTATGTTAACGAACGTTAACGAAGGGTCGTCGTTAGCGAAGGGTAGTCGTTAAAGATCTTTAACGAAGGGGTGTCGTTAACGATCGCTAACGAAACGAAGAACTTTATAAAAACGGTCGGTTTTGGAAAAAATTACATGCAACTTTATTGAATGTTACATGAAGTTTAACAGTTGTGGGGGAGTTAAAACTTCTTGATATTTTCTTACAAACTACTCAATGATAACTACAGATGCCCTTCAGGTCGGTTTCCTCTCTTCGTTAACGATCGTTAACGAAGGGTTGTCTTTAACGATCGTTGACGAAATGAATTTTATAAAAACGATCGTATTGAAAAACGAGCGTTTTGAAAAACGATCGTTTTAAAAACGACCATTTTTTAAAAAGAACTTTAAAAAACGATCGTTTTGTTTTCGATTTTCCGTCGTCGTTTTCATAACGAAACGATCGTTTTTTTTTAAATGAAAACGTTAACATCCGTACAGTCACGTGGAATGGTTTTCGAATTTTTTCTCATGAAGAACTTCATAAAGCACAGGAGTTTAATTACAGGTTGTCCCACGAAACATGACAGTTGGTGAATAGTTTAAAATGTCTTCTTCCATGAGTTGTTTAGTTGATTGATACCAAAGTCAATAATAAAAATATATCGGAGTCATTTTATAGTAAACTTGATTTCAAAGTAAAATATATTTGAGCAAAATATGTTTTTAACGAAATGAACTGCAAAAACACTTGAATATCATAATACAGTATATGTAAGACGCCATTCAAAACTATTTATTAACTATCCTGTTTCGTGGGACACCCTGTATCTTAAATGCTGATTCATATTATTAAATCCTTTCCCCATTTTTTCTGTGCGCTTCATGTTTCAAGTCAACTTTTAATCCAATATTTCCTAAACTTATATAAATCATTCTTAATTACAGATACAGGGTGTCCCAAAAAACATGGGAATTGAGTGACGAATTTGATATCGTCTTTGTTATGAAATAGCAATGCAATACCTAATTTCAAAAGCCATAATATTATTATGTCTGCTAGAGTTTATTTTATGAAAAGGGTAAAAGATGTGTCTATAATGTCTCCGCAAGATTGAACAGTGAAGACCAACAAGTTTACTCACATGTTTGTATACTGCAATTTTCTTATATTACTAAGTACAACCGTATGCAGTCAAAACATAAACAAGCAAAATGTGAACATAGCAGACGAAACTCTTACAGATTACAGCTTTTTCAGTAGGTATCACTAAACTAAATCAAAGAATTATTTAAAAGACGATATCGAATTCGTCACTGAATTCCCATGTTTATTGGGACACCCTGTAGATTCTCAGTTCTCACGTCGGCTATAGAAGCTACAGGGTGTCCCACGAAACATGTTAAAAAATCTTTTGCTCAAATATATTTTGCTTTGAAGTTAATTTTACTATAACATGACTCCTATATAATATTTTTATTATTGTCTTTGGTATTAAACAACAACAAAGTATGGAAGATGACATTCTAAATTATTTACCAACTGTAATGTTTCTTGGGACACCCTGTTGTATAAAAGATTAAAATGACATTTCAGTCGTATCTCAACTGTCATGTTTATTGGGACACCCTGCCTAACAAGCTTACTGTGTAAATTGAGTTTTATTTA